GCGAGTGAAATCCTCTGCCTGCGCTTCCCTACCCTCCCCGCCTCCCGCACCCAGGGATGGGCCTCGTCACTGGGGCGCCGCGGGGGACAGGTTTTTCCTCCAGTCGGGGCTCCGGGGGCGGGGCCACAATGCGGCTTGCGGGGACAGCTGCGACGGGTTACTAGGCGAGATTGCGGCGCTAGGAAACGCCGACGCCCGAGAGGGCTGGGCCACCCCTCCTTTCCCCGCCCCGGCGGCCCCTTCCCTGGTGCATCCTGGGAAGTGTAGTCCTCTCTATCCCGGCTGTCGTGGGGGAGCGCTCAAAGCGGACTTCAAGTCCCAGGATTCCGCGCGCCCATGCGGGCTTTGTAGAGGCCAGTGCGGTCGTGCGCTGAGCCTGCGGTGCTCCCTCAGCGGGGGACCGCGGCTGTCCTGCAGCGGCTGCTAGCGGGCGCTGGCGTCCCACAGGGTCTGAGACGCGGGGTCGGAGGGCGTGTCTTTCGAGGGAGCAGTGGAGTTGGAGTGGAGGAAGTCTACAGCCCGCCTCGAGATTCCCTTGCTCTAGACATCCCTCCCTTGCAGTACCACTTAAATCAAGCTCGTTTGTTCCTACTTCAGTTTTTCCATTTATTCAGATGGATTCTAACTTGTTCAAGTGCAGTACTTCCAAATTTAAGAAAATCCTGGCATGTGATCTGTGGGACCTGCCTCCTAAATTAGAGGGCGTGGCTACTAAAAGATAACCAGATTTGGAAGCGGGAAGGTTCTCTTACCAGGAATAACTAACTTACTTTGTCCCTGAAAGGCAGAAGCTGGTAACATTTTTTTTTCCCAAACACTGCCTGAGGTAAACTATGACTCCACAGTGTTTTGAGGCAGCCAGTGTTTAAACTGGGGCCACAGCCAGCTTTGGGGAAAAGGAGATTTCAAAATCTCAGTGAGTAAGAGCATGCAAAAGGTTGATCGATTTGGACATCTGGAACATTCTTTCCATGCTCACAATGAAATTGCCTTTTCAATTCTTCAGTCTACCTCAAGCCTTAATACAGTCCTTTGGTAAGAACGGCTCCAGAAGCTTAAAACTGCCATCTTAGATGACAGTTTCTGACTCCAGCAATGAAGATGTTAATTGGTCGCATCTTTATTTTAAAGCAAACAATCTACAAATATTCATGGCAATGCCTAGGCAATACGGGCACTACCAAAAATAAAAATAAACTTGGTCAGAAAAAGGTTTGTACTGTCTTCACCTGCTTTTTATCGCTATAACAAAATACCTGAGACTGGATTACTTATGAAGAAAATTTTATTTGGCTCATGATTCTGGAGACTGGGAAGCCAAAGAACATGGCATGAGGCATCTGGTGATGATGCCTTATTGCATAATAACACGGCAGAGGGCAATCCATGGTTAAAGAGCAAGCTTGCTAGCTAAGGGGTTTTTTTCTTCTTATAAAACCATGATGGAGGCCCCACACTCGTGTCCTCATCTAACCCTAATTATCTCCCATAGGCTCCACCTCCAAATACCATTAACATATGAATTTGAAGAGTAAGTTTTTAATACATGAATTTTGGGGAAACACATTCAAACCATAGCAGAGACATAAGAAAAAAATAGAGTTGATGATACCATGCCGTAAAACCATACCAAATGATCTATATAGAAACATTAATTTCTATGTAGGAATTTGGGAGAGAAAGAACTTTTCCAGATATAAGAAGTCAGCAGAAATTTCATGTAAGAAATAGGAAGGCAATTGGTACACTCCCAGCTATTAGGGAGGCTGAGGTTGGAGGATCACAAGCTCAAAGCCACCCGGGAAACTTAGTGGGACCCTGTCTCAAATAAAAATTTAAAAGGGCTGGAAATGTAGGTCAGTGGTAGAGCACTTGTCTAGTATGTGCAAGACCCTGGGTTCAATGCCCAGTACAAAAAAAAAAAAAAAAAAAAGATGTAGGTAGAATTGAGATAAGTGATAAATTGAAAGAGCATTCTACCTGGGTCTATTAAAAATTTTCAAAAAAAAGTAGGGGTATAATATAGATCTAGAATATACCCACTTTTGTGAAAAAGAAAATTCATTGTGAAAGGGGATATAAGATTATGAATGGAGGGCTGGAGTTGTGGCTCAATGATAGAGCACTTGCCTGGCATGTGTGAGACCCTGGATTCTGACCTCAGTGCCATATATAAATAAATAAATTAAAGATCCATTGACAACTAAAAAATTACTTAAAACAACAAAAAAAGATTGCAGATGGAGCTGAACATAGAGGTTTGTACTGTTTTTTTTAAGATAATGAAGAGTACTTGAATTAATTTTTGAAGAGAGGAATAACAATAAAAATAGTAATCAAAACTGAGGTATAATGAAGTTATCTCACACTAGAAAAGGTACCAAAAACATACATTGGAAAAAAGATAGCCTCTTCAACAAATGGTGCTGGGAAAACTGAAAATCCATATGAAGCAAATGAAATTAAATCCCTTTCTCTCACATTGCACAAAACTCAACTCAAAGTGGATCAAGGACCTAGGAATTAGACCAGAGACCCTGTGCCTAATAGAAGAAAAAGCAGACCCAAATCATCATCATTTAGCTTGACCTGACTTCCTTAACAAGACTCCTAAACCACAAGAAATAAAATCAAGAATCAATAAACGGGATCAATTCAAACTAAAAAGCTTCTCAGCAAAGAAAACAATAACATGAAGAGAGAGCCTACAGAACGGGAAAAAATCTTCACCACATGCACACCAGATAGAGCACTAATATCCAGAATATTTCATAAAGAATTTAAAAAAAAACAAATAGCCCAATCAATATATGGGCTAAGGAACTGAGCCAACACTTCACAAAAGAAGATATACAATCAATCAACAAATATGTGAAAAAATGTTCCACATATCTAGCAATTAGAGAAATGCAAATCAAAACTACTCTAAGATTTCATCTCACTTCAGCCAAAATGCCAGCTATCAAGAATACAAGCAACAATAAGTGTTGGTGAGGATGTAGGGGAAAAGGTACACTCATACATTGCTGGTGGGACTGCAAATTGGTGCAACCACACTGGAAAGCAGTACGGAGCTTCCTTAGAAATCTTGGAATGGAACCACCATTTGATCCAGTTATCCCACTCCTTGGTTTACATCCAAAGGACTTAAAATCAGCATACTATAGTGATGCAGCCACATCAATGTTTATAGCAGCTCAATTCACAATA